GCTAAGTGAAAACTTTTGATTAAAATTTGTAAATTAAAAAATAATGCTAATTGAGAAGCTGTGTTGAAGGAATAACAATTCGAATTTAAAAAAAGCTAAATTAAAATTTTTGATTAAAATTTGTCATTTATAGGAACCAATCCGAAATATGATGCTATATCAGGGAAATAAGAGGGGTTTACCTGTTGAACGATATCTTATAGCAGTTAGTGAACGATCCGTTGCACGTGTTCCACTTGCGCAATGTAATCGATTTGATACGTGTGTCGATTGTGTCGCTTTACGTGATCCACATTGCGCATGGAATTTAGAAGCTAAGAAGTGTGTAATGTTAAATGATAATTTAAATCGGTATGTTTTTCATTTGATTATAAAATGGTAGTTATTGTTGTGTCAATTGAACCATAAAAAATATTATTCTAAGAATATTGCAAAAAGTGAAAGATCATGACATTATTAAAAAAAAGCTGTTGCATATAAACTGTGAAAAACCAAAAATAATATTACTTAGAAGAGCATATATCATCAAAAGCATATCATTGTCATACTGTTCAGTCAAAGATAAACGATCATCCATTATGAAATTCATGTAATTTTATGCTCAAAATTAATTCAGAATGTTAAGGGCTTAAAGTGATAACATATCGAGAAAAAGGGAAAAATTTGTCTCACTCTAAAAAAAAAAACAAAAGCATTTCAAACATACATTACATATATGTATATAACTGCCACAAAATTCCATATATTTTTTTTTTTAATTAAAAAAATGATTTATGCAAAAAAGTTTTTTGAAATACTAATAATCATTTCACTGTTAAATAAATTTTCTTAACCTTTAATATTTGTTAACCTTTAAAAGATATCATTTTGAACGGATTTAATATTATTGCAGAATATACGAACAAGAAATTATAACAGGTCAAGCAGAAGGTTGTGGTACTTTTACCGATCTTCAACATTTCTTTAACTCTGATACTGTACCATCGATTGTTACTGAAAATGAGGAACCTTTACAAGGTAATCGTTGAAGCTTATTTCCATTTTGTTCTATCTAACCTCTAAATAATTTTTTAATGAATTAAGTCAAATAATTAACAGCCTTCATATTTGTTCAATTAGTTAATCCTTATCTTTCAATATTGTATTATAACAGAATTAAATAAATAAATTCCCGGTTATTGTAACATTAAATAAAATACTAGTAATGAATTAACTTATTATTTAAACAGAAAATCTTTAGGAATAATTTTAAATTATTGCATTACCGATGAGAAATTTGAATTCGATACTAAATGATAGGAAGTTTACGTTTTTAAGATGTATCATATGTTCTTCCATTATTGAAATCTCCGACAATCAGTAAAAATTGCACCTGCGAAGAGAAGAAGCCAATTCCGGCTTGCGCTTCTAGCAGTAATTCGGCTTCTCTCAGTGTAACAGCAGGTTTTCTTTTTCTTGCAATTTTTTTCTAATTTTAATTTATTATTGTGAAACTTTTTTTCTAACCGAATTATCAGGGAACTATAAAACTAATTTTTTTCTTTTTTTTGTACACTGTCAAAAATTTATGAAAATTGTAAATTTTGACAAATCACAAGAAACTATGCCAAAAATTTCTTGAAAAATTTTTGCGAGAATCGGATATTTGTTTTTTATAAAATTAGGAAGAATTAGTGAAAATTATAAACTGTAAATTCTATTATTCATTTGAAAAATTTCCAACATTAATTATGAACGAGAAGAATAAATTTGCATAATTTTCAGAATCCACCACATATTCTTTCCTTCAGCACAGTTTTTTTATACCGATACTTTTTGCTTTCACTGCAACTTTGGCAGTACTCGTTGGTTTTTTTGTTGGAAATTTATACTGTCATTGGAAATTACCAAACAAAGGAAAGCCTTCGTCATTTCAATCATTTAGCAGTACAACTCCTCAACCTGTTTATGGTACCAGGTAGTTTCATTTATATTCAATTTCATTAATATATTATTGAATGAACTTTGAATTTCAAATTCAAATTTTCCAAAATATATATCATCAAATTAAATTTGCATTGTACGTTTGGAATGAGGGAGCAATTAAAGTGAATGCATATGTTTGGAATTTAATTTGCGAAATTTAGAAAAAATTTTAAAAAAATTAAAATTAAGTTTTAACACGTTGTATCATTACTATTACTGAGTAGTATAATTATATTTAATTATAAATTTGAAATAAAGCTTTTTATTAGAATTGATATCGTTATCACATGAGTTACTTAAAAATTGTTTCTAATATGAAATTTCAGATTATCATCACCATCACTGAGCATTATCAATGCATATGAATCAATATCAAAATTTAGCGGAGCTATTCCACCACGATCTGATTCACCCATATCACTTGTGGTTTGTTGTTATTTAAACTTCATTATCTATATTAATTTAAATATTATTCCAGAAAAATAATTCTTTGCGCATATTTTAATTACACCACTGCAAGTATTACAACAAGTAGTCGTTTTAGAAATATTTCGATTACTCGGTAAAATACAATTAGAAACTCATCAACGACTAAAAATGTTAAGTTTGTTCGGAAGAGATTTTCTTATAATTTTTATTGTTTCAAAGCATAATATCCTAACGCATTTATTGAGCTAAATTTACGACAAAATAATTTTAAATCCATTAAACAAATGAATTAATACAAAAATTATCAAATTTCAACAAAAAAAGAAATGATTAATTAATATACTATTTTATAGGTGGAAGATTTATCACATTCATCATCATTTGTAGAGAAATTAAAGCAATCAAAGAGTAATCGGTCCAATCAAATCTATTTGTAGTAAACTTAATTCATTTCATTGCTTGAAATATACTTTCAAATCAATTTGCGGGTCGTTTGTGTTTCATTTATAAAAGTTTAATATTGTAAAATAATGGATAATAATGATAATAAATACAAGAAAAATAAGAAAAGGGAAAAATTAAAAATTGAGTGTCAATTTCAATTCTGACTG